CTCGGGGAACTTATATATTGCACGTCATAAAGCTAGTAGCAAATTTTATTCTGGGTGCGGGTCGAATACTGATCATATTCGGTCGGGTCGCCCATCGAAGAAGTCTGTTGTTTATTTAGACCCGAAACTTCTAGTGACATGGGAGCAACAACACTGACGACGTACCCAGATTCGGCATTTAAAGGTGTAATTTTAATCTTTCCTTATTTATTCATATAAATCCTTTTCTTTTCCCTTCCCGTAGACAAAATTTGAAATTTTCACATCTCGATTTTACTGAGTCACAAATTTAAATTTTATTTCCCAAATTAATAATAAATATTGTTGGTTGATTTTGTTTAGCGACATATCAACAGTAAATAAGCTCATAAGGGTTGACATGTTATTACATGTAGCAGCCTAACCTAATGTTTCCGTTCTTTCTGTTTTTTAATCATTTAGATCGTTAAAAAAAAGAGCAAAATTTTGGACGTGTAGGAACGATTAAAAAAATGTAAAAAAAAACACCCCCAAATACTTTGATCTTTCCTCTTAATAATAACATAAACATTTAGAAAATAAAAAAAAATATTTTCATCAAGTTGAAGGCCCTTTTTATTCATGCTATGCTCATTTATTTTAGTCATCTCTCGAAGGTATCTATACTTACTGGAGCAATACCGGGAACCAACAATTTTTCCAACACTGAAAGTGATGGATATAAGAGTTCCACTTGAGCTCCGAGTTAAGATTAAGGCCAAATAGTCACTCAAAGTATGGGGTTCCCCTGTGGGGGGACATCTATTCCTCATGATTGGTGATAGTTCAGGGTCTGATAGATTATGTTGGAATGTAATTAGTTTGTTTTTTGAGATCTTACTTATTATAAAACGCAGATTGTGTGTGTGTGTGTGTATGTGTGTGTGAGTGTGTGTATGTGTGTGTCTGTACGTTTATATATTGGATCGGATTTCCTACATTTTTCAACCGATTTCAACAAAACTTCACAGGACTACGTAAAATTACCTTGCGGTGGTTCTGACAGCGCCCCAAATTGGAAAAACACAATTGTTTTTGCACGAAATCAATTTGAAAACACGATTAAGAGGCATTAAGGAAAGGGAGACAACTCATATCGAGTTATACTTAGTAATATCGAGTTATACTTATTATAAAACCCAGGTTGGTTGTTTGTGTGTGTGTGTGTGTGTGTGTTCGTTTATATATGGGATCAGATTTCCTACATTTTTCAACCGATTTCAACAAAACTTCACTTTTTTTTGGCAGGTAGTGTTTCTTATTGTCTTGCACACCTTTTTCTTTATTTTTCCATTCAGAATGCTTTAAAAATTCCATTTACAAGACAATTGTTTATAATGAAATTCTATTCAATCGGTAGACTCATAACGATTGAAAACAATAATTTTGTTGGAGTTTGGGTTTGACCAATTCGTAAAAAAAACCCCAAAAAACAAACAAAAAAAACTAATTAAGACATGCATGTCCGTCAACCTTAAACAATAATCTTTGTCAATTTTATTTTTCAGTCTTTATGATGGTCGATACTTGATCTATCTCTTACTGTTACATCCCCGGGCAACGCCGGGCTCTACTGCTAGTATTCAATGTAACCAACAAGTCTTTTCCCCCACTGAGCTGTTAGAACTCAATCAGATGAGAGATCAGCTGCTAATCTCTGGTCATCTAGAGTTTTGGAGGTGCACCTATATACCATTGTATCGGCAATATAAACATTCACAAATGGTCTAGGTTAAGTTTAAGGCCCAGTATTTTTCAATGTCAAACAAATTTCATCATACACCCCGAAAATAGATTCATATTACTGCACACCACTGCAAATGACCTAATCTGAGGAAAAAATAGAAATTGATTACACCCTGTCAAAAAAATTGACCGTATGGTGAAAGAAAGGAAACTAAAACGGTATTTTCAATTAATTTACACAAGGGTGTAAAAAGCAGGTTCGTGGAAAGAAGCTGCTCGAGTAGAACTTAAATCTCACCAAAGGGGGATAAGGATGGGCTTCGCTACAAGAGATTGGTGAAACTAATTAGTGTATTTCATCTGATTCCTTTCAATGGGAATAACGATAGACCAACGAGAGGCATCCGATGTCGCATCTGTGAGAAAATGGTTGTAGGGTAGAAAATAATTCTGTACCGATAAGGACGCGTCGACACGTTTGGATTCTAGACTGGAAAGGGAAGACTGTGCAGCTCCTGGCAACAGTACTCCATTTTAGACCTAATCTGACTCTTCTAAAGGTAGAGGATAACAGGAGGGATCGTATAGAGGTCCGACCATTTTTCCAGTATTTTTAGCGATTTACCACCACTTTGGGGTCTGGGCTTGGTTTAAGGCCCAATGGTGGGGGTAGGCATGGAGTCTTCTTGAAGGAACAACCTTTCATCATGATAGTTTAGGGTCCGATCGGCGATGATGTTTATCGGGGTACTGAATGTAACCAGCCTGTTTCCCCCCCCCCACTGAGCTGTTAGAGCTCAGTCAGAGAAGAGATCAGCCGCCAATCCCTGATAATCTATTTTTGGAGGGGCACCTATATACTGTTACCCTCCTGAAATTGGTGGTGTTATTCATATGCCCGTGATTCTTTCAATGGGAAAAAAATCTAATTTTGTGAAGTGGCTTGGGTCAAAACATTTTCAGCATTCGCTGTTGTATATAACGAGCGATTTTTTTTTTTTCGTTTTGAAAACTAGCGGGCTATTGACATTTTTTTTTTAGTACTTGAATGGCTTATTTTTTTTTTATTTTTTTACTTTTTTACTTTACAAATTTCCGCCTCGGGTATTTTTTAAATGTCACAAAGTGTTTGCTAGTCAGCGTGTTCTCATATCTGTTCGTGAAATCAAAGCATTAATGTCATTGTACAGTACAAAGGAAATCATTGTAAACTTTTTCTTTACTAGTTTTATCCGTGAAAATTCTTTTTTTTTCTGATGAATCAGAATTCTTAAGTTCACGTTTGAACAAATTCTTTGCTAGTTCCATGACTATAAAATCCCCGAGAAAATGCCTCTATTGAATTGTGAAATAACTGAATTGAACAGCTTTAAAATACTTCAATAAAAATCATAATTATGAACTCAGATCATTATTTAAAGAAGTAAGAGAGTACAAATGCAAATATTAAATAATAACACTTTTCATTTCACTGAAGCAGACGTTAAACGTATGAAAGGGTTATTCCCGCCTCAATCTTCTCTTCTCTTCTCTCTCTCTCTCTCTCTCTCTCTTTGTATCCAGTCACCTTGCTTTCTTTCCTTCTTTCTTTGAATCCATTCTGCCTTTCTTTCTTTCTTTCTTTCTTTCTTTCCTTAGTATACGATTTTTGATTGGTCATTTCAGCTCATGTAACAGCGTTTTCCCTTACGAAAACGCTGTTACATGAGCTGAAAATGACCAATCAAAAATCACTTAATTAATTTGAACCTTTTAAAACCTTCATTCTAAACATCATCACTTGATAAGACACCAAGGGTGTTGAAACAAAATGGCTATTTTTGTAGTGATTTTATAACATATTTATGTTATAATTTTTAAATAAAAATATATATATATATATATATATATATATATATATATATATATATATACATTTAATGAAATGGACTAAGTTCAATAATTGTTTTAATATATTTATACGTTCTTTTTATAGATACAAATATTCAAGTAAATGCTCTGTTGATAATAAACAGTATTAATGACATTTACCGGCCTGAATGGCAGAGAAAATTCATAGAAAATATGCGTCCTCTGACAGGAATAAAACCTGTATCCTGACGTGCTATAATATTTCACTACAGAGGACGCTTCTGGTGAGCAAGTAATTAAAAGCAGTAATTCGACCTTGTTAACCAGGTTAAAAGCACGGCTACTCTGATTAAAAACACAGCTACTCCCAGGTTCAAAACACAGTTATTGTCGGGTTAAAAACACAGCTACTATTGTGTTAAAACTGCGATATTTTAAACTTAATGGTAAATAATATTTGTTTCAAATCAGATTAATTAAATTCATTAAATCAACTAATATTGCTGAAATAATGTTTCAGAATAGTATATTTTATTTTTGGAAGATTTTTTACTAAAGAGAATCATACTGCAATGGAAGACGACTAAAATCAACTATTTTAGCAAAAATATATATATATATATATATATATATATATATATATATATATATATAACCACTCTTGAGCGCTTAGCGTTGCGGCGGGTAGAATGGAGATCAACGTGTTTTAGTGGACTCAGCAATTTTCTATCTGCTTGTATGAATCATCTTCAAGAAGCGAGAGCAAGATCTAAAAAATCAGCCAATCTAACAGTGATCTCATCTCGCAATCCTCACACTTGCTCCCTATGTGGCTTCCTTTGTAAATCACTAGCGGATCTTAAATACCACTTAAGATTATCGCACAAAATTTCATAACTGAATCAAGTAAGCTGTTAGATCCTCATACGTTGAAACCGACGGAGAGTCAATTATATATATATACATATATATATATATATATATATATATATATATATATAATGGATAAGAACGAATCAAAGTAAACCGCCAAAGTGATTTGATTAAAGTGGTGAAGGCTTGTGCAGAACCATCCACACTTTTCGAAACTAGTGATACACTCAGTCGGTGCAAATAAATGCCACAGACGAAGCAGACATTATACCTCAGGCTTTTCTTGTAAGAACCAATCGTGTTCTATAGCACTAAAGAGCTTGGTCAGCCCTGGTAGACACTATTTGCCCATCGTTGGGAATCTATCTATCTATCTATCTATCTATCTATCTATCTATCTATCTATCTATCTATCCGAGTCTTTTAATTCAATGAATCTATCTATCTATCTAGATAGATAGATAGATAGATAGATAGATAGATCAACTATTTTAGCAAATATATGTATATATATATATATATATATATATATATATATATAGATAGATAGATAGATAGATAGATCAACTATTTTAGCAAATATATATATATATATAGAGAGAGATAGATAGATAGATAGATAGATAGATAGATAGATAGATAGATAGATAGATTTTAGATAAATCAACTATTTTAGCAAATATATATATATATAGATAGATAAACTATTTTAGCAAATATATATATATATATATAGATAGATAGATAGATAGATCAACTATTTTAGCAAATATATATATATATATATATATATAGATAGATAGATAGATAGATAGATAGATCAACTATTTTAGCAAAATATATATATATATATGTATAGATAGATAGATAGATAGATAGATAGATCAACTATTTAATATATATATATATATATATATATATATATAGATAGATAGATAGATAGATAGATAGATAGATAGATAGATCAACTATTTTAGCAAATATATATATCTATCTATATATATATATATATATATATATAGATAGATATAGATAGATATAGATATATAGATATATTACCAGTCAATTTAAATTAGTTTTTGAAGAAAATAACCAGAGCATTCTGTCTGTCGGAAATATTAAATTTAATCTTTTAGCTTGAAATCAAAACTAAAATAAAAGCTTCAAGATTTTGATTTTTAAAAAATGCACTTCAAATGTTAGGTACTCGTTTTTATTTTCTTGTTTTATTTATTTATTTATTTTTTTTTTTTGAAAGTCCGTAGTAAAAATTATTAACTAATAAGTAATTTAATTAAAAATTTAAAAAATAAAGTTAACTCACCTTTACAAGTCTTAATATTAAAATTTCTGACGATGCCCTTAAGGGCAGAGTAACTGGACACTTGATGGAGGTTGTTGATTGGGTCGCTGGCAATCGCCTTCAGTTCGTCCAGGGAATAATGGTACCCGACGCCGATGGCGTAGGCATGAACACCAAGTTTGTGCAACTTGCGTGCCTCTTTTCTCGTTGCTTTTGGATCACGCGACAGACCGTCCGTGATAACGATGACTACAAAAGGTGCCGTCGAGTTTCGGAAGAAAGGTTTTAGCTGCGAGCGCACAAGGTGCAAAGCTGCGGCCGTATTCGTCATTCCAGTACGATACGGAATACCGGCAATCGCCTTTTTCAGTTCGGTTCGATTTTGGTAGCGGTCTAAAGCGAATTCAAGATGAGCGTTGTTGCTGAAGGTGATGGCTCCGACGCGGACTTGAGATTTGCCGGCTCCAATATCAAATGTATCAACTAAATTCTTAACGAATTCTAGCTGGCGTCTGTAGTCGACAATCCAAATGCTACTGGACGAATCCATGACAAACATTATGTTTGCGGCATTCCCAGAACAATCTAAAAATAAAAAAAAATTATTTATATATATGTGTGTGTGTGTGTGTGTGTGTGTGTGAAAATATATAGAAAATAGGAAAGAACTCGTTAGGTAAACAATTTTGTAGCGAAGGAATCATATTTTTAAATAAATAATTATATATATATATATATATATATATATATATATATAGTTTTAGGGTGTGTTATATTTATGGGATAAAGTGCTTAAAATCAGAGATAAAGCGTATGTAAATATAAATATATAAGTGAATGTTAAAGTCAAAACTTAGAGGCGACAATATGTTTCTTTGCGCCTAGCATGAAACAGCCTGTCGCCTCTGAGTGTTGACTTTATGTTCACTTTTTATATTTACACACGCTCTATCTCTGATATTAACACTCAATCCCATAAATATAGCACACCTTAAAACTATATTTCTTCACACACACACACACACACACACACACACACACACACACACACCACATATATATATATATATATATATATATATATATATATATATATATATATATATATATACAAGTATATAACTGGTGTGTATGGAATGAATTCCAATAAATAATTGGTGTATATGGAATGAATTTTAATAATGTATATGTGTTTATGTATGTATATGTTTATGTTTATGTATTTATATGTATGTATTTCTGTGTATATATGTATATATATGTATTTTATTTTATATATATATATATATATATATATATATATATATATATATATATATATATATATATATATATATATGTCTGTGTGTGTGTGTATATGTGTTGGTTTGTGTTTGCTGCCACGTGTATATATGTATATATGTGTATGTATGTATGTATGTATGACTATACATTTATTTCTATAAGTATTTCTTTTTATCTTATTTTTCTTCACCTAATATATAATAAAACTATTATCAACGTATATGATTAAAATATATGTTTTTATTGATATTTGTGGTTTTGGAATTTTCGTTTTAATATATCAAATAATATTATTTTTAACCATTTTTATCTTTGTATATTTGCTCGCTTAAGTTATATTTTAATAAGTGGTTAGCATTTATTTAATGACACTTTCAGTCTTAAATATTTATTGGTTGTGGTATCTGATTGTCTAGGTCAATGTCGATGGATGTGTGTACATATATTTATCGATGTCTATGTGTATGGAAAGTGCATTCACTTTTAATTATGTATGTATGTATGTGTTTGTTTCCCCTTTTTTTCTTTTTTTTTTTTTTTTTCATATAGGGCCGTAGCGATGTTCTCTGTCTCGTCACCTTTTTTTGTGTGTATATAATATGTCTGATGCTTAATTATAATCTGATTGTGTTTGGTTGTTTTACGCGTGATTTTACGACCCCATCTGCAAACTTGGGATTAAAATGTATACATATATATTGTCAGTGGACCGTATTTTAATGATCTGAATAGCTATTATAACATGACTTCGTTGTCAGGCTTTTAGCACGAAATGATTAGCGGGGGGAACCAGACCATATATGGTAACAGTATTCAACGCAAGGACGAATAGTAGATTCGAAAGATGGACACAGACGAGAAAAACCTTCTGGCGCGAGACAGAGAACCAACTTTCCTTGCGGTAGATGAAGCTATTGATTCAATGTAGTTGTTCCACCTCAAGTCAGTGGCAAACCTAAGACAAGTTTCATTAAATAATCTAAACAAATTTTTAATAGGATCCTCTGATAATTACGGACAATTTTCTTAGTTTCCTTATTAAAGGAAGAAAGAAAATTACCATGTTGATGCATATTCATTTATTGCCGAGTACTTTCGACACTAGCACAATGTCGTCATCAGGGTCTTCTTTTTTCTAAGACAAAAAATTGTGTTCATCATTTTTCTAGGACAAAATTGTTGTGTCCATCTGACAATTAATTTTTTACACGTGAAGTAAAAAACGCTAAGGTTATGCACTGTACAACTTAAAAAAATTTAAGATGTAAACACACTTGCAAGCGTCAAGGGAGGTAACTAAGTTAAAGAAATGTCTAGATATCTAACATAAAATACTATTTAAAACTATTAGTTAAAACCTAGATATTTTAAACTATCTACTGTAAATCATTTAAAAACATTTGCGCAGTATTCATAATTAATTTTATTAAGGGTTGGTTTCAATTTTTAATATCTATATTAAAGAAATGAAACCAACCTTTAATAGAAATTAATTATGAATACCGTACAAATATTTTTAAATGATTTAAGATTTGAGCTTCAAGAATTTTTAGTTTGTTTATTATTTTCATGGAAAAGTATAAATGTATTTTCAACAAGAATTTTCCTAAATTGCGAATATGGACAGGCATGTTGTTGTAAATGTTAAGAGATGTTAGACGCATCATTCAGATGAAAACACAACCGCCGAGACAATGTAGTGGTAGTATGACAACATATATATTATTTTTCTGTTGGAGATACAATCGCCCAAGGGAATTATATATATATATATATATATATATATATATATATATATATATATATTAATTTGAAAAGAAAACTATTTGCAAGAAAGTCATACAGTTCTGCTTGTTCTACCGTTAATTAATACTGGGTAGTTGGCACGGGCATTACGCAGACCATTGCCTTCTAATACATAATGGACCATTACGTTTTGATTGCAAGTTGAGACGAAGAAACTCCATTTGGATTCAGTGAGAAAAAACAAAGCAAAGAAAGAAAGAAAGAAAGAAAGAAAGAAAGAAAGAAGTGATACTGGCAAGAAAGAAAGAACGAAAGAAAGAAAGAAAGAAGGAAAGAAAGAAAGAAATGATACTGGCAAGAAAGAAAGAAAGAAAGAAAGAAAGAAGTGATACTGGCAAGAAAGAAAGAAAGAAAGAAAGATCGCAAATAAAAGAAAGAAAGAAGAGAACGAAGAAAAAGCGAAGGAAGAAAGGAAGTAAACTAAGAGAAAATAAGATATGAAAAAAAAGAAAGAAAGAAAGAAAATGACAGACTCATTGAAAGAAGGAAAAAAGAAAGAAAGAAAGAAAGAAAGAAGTGATACTGACAAGAAAGAAAGAAAGAAAGAAAGAAAGAAAGAAGTGATACTGAAAAAAAGAAAGAAAGAAAGAAAGAAAGAAAGAAAGAAAGAAAGAAAGAAAGAACGAAGTGATACTGGCAAGAAAGAAAGAAAGAAAGAAAGAAAGAAAGAAAGATAGAAAGACTGAACTTGAATTTAAAGAAAGAAAGAAAGAAAGAAAGAAAGAAAGAAGTGATACTGGCAAGAAAGAAAGAAAGAAAGAAAGAAAGAAAGAAAGAAAGAAAGAAGTGATACTGGCAAGAAAGAAAGAAAGAAAGAAAGAAAGAAAGAAAGAAAGAAAGAAGTGATACTGGAAAGAAAGAAAGAAAGAAAGAAAGAAAGATCGCAAATAAAAGAAAGAAAGAAAGAAGAGAACGAAGAAAAAGCGAAGGAAGAAAGGAAGTAAACTAAGAGAAAATAAGATATGAAAAAAAAAAGAAAGAAAGAAAATGACAGACTCATTGAAAGAAAGAAAGAAAAAAGAAAGAAAGAAAGCAAGCAAGAAAGAAAGGTGACGGACTCATTGAAAGAAAGAAAGAAAGAAAGAAAGAAAGAAAGGGCAGCATAACATTTTCATGTATTTAACGTCTGTTTCAGTGAAATGGGAAACCTTGTCAATTTGCAGACGACATAACACATTTTTCGGATATAAATGAGATAAAGGAAGACGAAGAACGACAAAAAAATTATTCACTGAATTTTTATTAATTACTAGAAGTCTATATTCTTTTTTCATTTTATAATTATGAACAAAAATCGTTTAATATTCCATCAACCCTTGCAACATTAACCCTAACCATAAAACTAAATTATATATGTGTGTGTGTGTGTAGTTTTTAATGGACAAGTTTGCTTTCGTTTGTTCATTAATACGGTTGTAAGCGGCAGCAATAGCTACCGCCACATAAGTCAGCGTTTTTTGTTACCTCCCTTTGCTACTTTTTTTACTACATCAAAAGGTCAGTTTACAAGCCAGTAACAAATGTTTACCAAAACAATTTTGGTATGCTTTTCAGTATTTACTATGCAGGCTGACGCTAAAAATGTTGGGAACCCTTGTATTAGAAGGTAAACATTGACACTTGGGTGTACATAAAAAAGTTAAGACTAAGAGCAATAAGTGATTGTGAGAAATTCGATAGGACTTTACTAAAGAGATCTTAAAAATTACCGACGTCACATAGCGCTTTTAGGGTTTAGCTTTAAGAAGCACTACTAATTAAAATTCGTCCATGAAAATTAGATATGTCTGATTATTAATGCTTCATAGCCCGCTCACAAACGCATAGAGCGAAAAATTGTCCTTAAACAAACAATCGTTTGCAATCAAAAAGCCAGTGATACTTTTTATAAATGCTTATCCTGTTGATTCTTCAATATGTTTGTCATGTTTCATATAAATTACACTGGTCAACACGATTTTTGGTGCCAAGAACCGAAACACATTTTTAGCTAATTTGATGGTGCTGATACCGAAAATGACCTTAGTTTTTCAGGGTTAGCTGCCGTTTTTGCTGTACTGAACTTATTTTTGGAAAAAAAAAGACTAATTTATGAGATTCGTTGATCACAAAATTTAGTTAATAAATGTCGTAGAAACCCATTAATTTTCAGGTGAGCCGGAGAAATTTATGTGAGTCCCCTGGAATAAACAGTTTTTATAAGAAAAAAAAGTGTTTTTGAGTCAAACATTTTAAAATAGATCTACCGAAGTATCTGTGTATATTTCTGAGATGAGGTATTATGGACATTATTTACATTATTCGGACTATTGACCTCATATTTGTCGCCATATTTACATATTTATTACAACGTTTGGGCCGTTGTACGCTCCGGCCTTCTTCAGGTGGTTGGAATGTCGAACTGAACCCTTTATTTCGCTCACTGTGGTAGACTGTTTTAGTTTCACGTGTTTTTAATGGATGTCAGTTATCAGTTATCTCCTTTTAATTCTCCTCTCAAAGAACAACATTGGAAAATTCGTAAACTTAAGGAATCAGCACATATGCTAGGCCACAAAAATCTTCTGAGCCGACCAAGCATAGAAAAGAATACAATATGGGATTGTCAGAGAAAAGCGATAATAACAACAAAAATTGCAATATGAGCTTTGATAAAAATATGTAATGATAACAGCAAAAATTGCAATATGAGCCCTGTTAAAAAATGGTTGCTGAAGACATTAGGTTTATAATACCCAGAAATTCATACACAGACGTCCTAAAGGACACTCAGCACATTGGATAACGGCGTTGACAGGACCCAAATACCCGGTTAAGGCAGTGGAGAACTTGGAGAGGAATTAACAGGATAACTAACATCCATCAAACATGGCACGTAGAACTAGAACAGTCTACACCAGTGAGCGAAATAAAGGGTTCAGTTCAACATTCCAACCATGTACAACGGCCGAAACATTGTAATAAATATGGCGACAAAGATGAGGACAATATAAAAACGATATCGTAACTTGACTTGGAGTGTTGAGTTAAAAGGATAAAAAAAATCCAGAAAAGGAATGGCACGTGAAACTAGAACAATCTAGACGTGATATACGGCTCAGTTCGAAATTCCAATCATCTGAAGAAGGCTGGAGCGTGCAATGGCCGAAACATCGTGAATATCGCAGTAAAGATGAGTCTGAATGAAGTAAAAAGGCAACATACTTAACATCAAGATGAGGCAGCTGAAATTTCTGGGGCACATAATGAGAAAAGGGGGTTTGGTAAAACAGATACTCACAGGACAAATTGAAGGCAAAATGGATAGGTTTCAGTAATGAATGGCGTAAAGAAGGTTTAGGAGACATATCAAAAAGACAAAATATGCTAAGAGCTACAAAGGACAGGAAATTGTGGAGAGCCGTATTCGCCTACGGACTGAGGGGACGTAGCACGTAAGAAAACTAGATTGGCGACTAGGTTCCATCGGTTTACTGTTAAATTAGCTAGATGTAACCGTAAGTACTATGCTAGCAGTTTCTTCTCTCGCTTGCACGACTCCCTTCTGATTTCTTGCTTCCCAATCAACTACGATCTTTATAAATTTAAAAGCATCCTCAATCGTCCTTTTTTGTCGTTTTGAATATTGCTCTTTTATTCTCAATAATCTTTCGCACTCAGTAACCCATTTTGTCTTAGTAGCATTATTGCCTTGTTTAGGGGGAAATGATTTTAAAAAAATTGAGAATTGCCTTGACTTCTTGGGAAATATAGTAGAATGACTTCTCTCCGTTTTAAAATTCAGAGATTTCTTTCTCCTAGACAGGTTGTCAGCAAAGGCTATATAGCTTAGTCTACGCTGCTATTTAAGTTGTTTTTTTAATAGAACTAATGTTGAATAAAAAATAGTCTTCTAGCCGGTTTAAAATTCAGAATTTTCATTCTCTTAGATTGATTGCCACTATAGGCTGGATTGATTGGTTGATTTATTTTTTACGGCTTATCAACCTATACTAGGCTATTCAAATTTACAGGATTCAAGGTATCAGGGCATAAGAAAATATAACGAACATGTCCATAGGCTAGAGAGCTTAGATTAGTTATTTAATCACTAGCTGAGAGGAGAAGAAACATATCCATACCTTTCCTAAGGTGCGAAACTGAAAGCAGCTATCTGACCCGGAATTCGAAATCGGCTCGACGAGTCTAGATTCGGCACAGATATACGTCACATTAGCCGCATATCTCACCCTGCTTTCTTGGTGAAAGTTGTCATTATTTTGCCAAGGGCTAGAATAGATTTGCTCCCAGGTTGTGCAAAATGGTTGTTTATTTAGGGCCGTCTTTGAGACAACAGAAATCAACCGTATCCAATTTTCATTAATGAACTATAATTACGATTTCTGTTTAATAATAAAAAAGAAGCCATATCTCCCTAGGCGCTGCCCACACGAAACGCTTCAGGCAGCATGGGAATGTCTCTAATTCTCCTTTTCCGATTTCAAAGCGAATTAAAAATGTCTTTCTTAATCTTATAAAGAAAAGACTTTTACAAACCACCCAAGACCGAGAACGTTAGGGTGCCAAGCTGAGCAATTGCTTTTCAGAAAATTTACCAAGGCAAAAAGGAAATTCTTAACGGCGCTCATCTCCTTTCCTCTACAATATAGATTTCATGGAACACCAGTAAAGATTAATCAGTGACTTGATCTGTTCTTAGGGAAGATAGTGGAAATACTTTTATCTGTGAAGTGGTATGATTTCTTGGGAAAGATAGGGGAGTGGTATACGGTTTGGAATCAAGAGTTGTCCTTCTTACAGATTCCTTTTCTTTATTATCTGTGAATTGGTACGATTTCTTGGTGGAGTGGTTTCCTAGTATCTTCTTTTCACTTTGTTGTTTTGCACAAGTCTAGGTGAGAGGTGGATTCTTCCTTACTCCAAGGGCATTAGTGCCAATTTAACGCCCCCAAATCGCACTCATTTAATCGTCTTAAAATTTTATTAGCCTTCCACCATCATGTCTGATGCTAACCTTCACAATGACTATTTGCCACTGCACGGATGGAACTTTTATATTGAATCAATTATTAGGTCTTCTGCTAGGAAAGTTGGTCCATTCAATCAGAATTTTTTCCGCTTAAACCCAGAGCCCCAAACACTGCTGAGGGCATTGATGTCATATCTAGGCGATTAGTTATGATTGTTCTGTCTGTGTGTATTTTAAAGTCCGATAGATGTGCTAGAGGTCCTACCTCTGTAACTGGGCCTCTCAGGAACTAATTTCTCGCTCTTTAACAATTCTCTTTTTTTCTTATTCTTTCACACTCAGTAATCCCTTGCGTCTTAGTGGCTTTATTGCCTTTAATCTTCTAAATTTTAAATGCAATGTCAATCGTTATCTTCTGTCTTCTTAATCCTTGTTCTTTTATTGTCCTCTCTCCTTAATATTAGTTTTTTCTCATATTCTCTAACACTCAGTAACCCCCTTCGTCTTAGTGGCTTTATTGCCATTGATCTTCAAAATTTTAAATGCAATGTCAATCGTTATCTTCTGTCTTCTTAATTCTTGTTCTTTTATTGTCCTCTCTCCTTAATAGTAGTTTTTCTCATATTCTCTAACACTTAGTAACCCCCTTGCGTCCTAGTGGCTTTATTGCCTTTAATCTTCAGAATTTTAAATGCAATGTCAATTGTTATCTTCTGTCTTCTTAATTCTTGTTCTTTTATTGTCCTCTCTCCTTAATAGTAGTTTTTCTCATATTCTCTAACACACAGTAACCCCTTGCGTCCTAGTGGTTTTATTGCCTTTGATCTTCGAAAATTTAAATGCAATGTCAATCGTTATCTTCTTGGGAAGGAGACTGAAGCCGAGATGCTAGATCAGGACCAATAATATTGCAGATTCTTCTTCGGATCTTATCAAGGTTCTCAAGGTAAATAGCAGGAGCAGCGGATCATATGTGGCAGCAATATTCTAAGCATGGACGAATGGTAGACTTATAGATATGTAAGATAGATTCTGGAGAGAAAAATTACCTCGCCCCATACAGGGAACCGACTTTCTTAGCAGCTGAACTAGCAATGGATTCAATATAGCCTTTCTATTTCATGTCAGCTGAGAA